GTTCAGTTTTTATTTACATCTTATAGCATCCTGATTTTGTCATGGTTTACTTCTATTTATTTATTTTTTATTATTTGTTAACCTCTGTTCTTAGCCTCAGGTGGAATAGCTGGGCCAGCACTTTCCCTCTTATGTTGTCGTTCCCCCAGCTGTTTTCTATGGCGTAATCAAGAGCTTGACTGTTGGCTGCCACAGTTCTCAGATATTCCTGACATGGTGACCGTCAGGCCTCCTTGGTTTTGAGTAATTTCCTGCACTTACCTTGTATAACCTGTATTTTCTGCTCCTCCTCTAGCTGCCAGGAAACCTTTGAACAACAATACAAACACTCCTGTGGACTGTGAGCACCTCCAGGCAGTTTTTCTTATTTACTACCTGCAACTGCAAGCCATCTTTTTATGTTGGACTGCAATCAATTACAAATGCAGAATAAATAAAATAAATAAACTTACCTGGTACTCCACTAATAGTCATTCTCCTGTCTGACAGAGCTCCCAGTAGCATGGCTGTTAACTCAGTTAAGCAACTAGTCACTCACAAGAACCTGCTTTTCCGTTTTCTAATGAAGACGTGCAAACATCTGCTTGATTCTGCTCACGGAGTCCAGTTTATACCAAACTATGCCTTTTTTGGAGTTGTTGTTGTACTTTTGCCCATTTGGCAGAAAGCCCTGGATGCAAACAATCCTCCATGAGTGGAAAGGCTGGAGTGCTCAAATGGTGCACAGTTGTTTCGGTGACTCAAATCCTTCCTGTTGATTCAGGTTAGTCCATTTAAAATATGAAAGTAAAGCATTAAGTGACATTTTACATAAACGTTATGTATGGTATTTAAATACATGTTAAGCTTCGGTGGTTACAATAACATCTTATTGTTGCATAACGTGTGTTTGCCTAAACCGAATGTTGAATTTTTCCATTTACACAAGCAGCCTTCATGTCAGCGTTTCCTTATGCCCGCAAGAATTTGGGCGGGCTGTATTAGAAACCCTTGGAGCACCATAAGCCATCTGTCTGCATAATTTAAGGTAGGAATGTGTGTTCATCAGTGGTTGAAGTTAAAAAACAAACAAACATGTGTTACACAATCTGTGAATCAACTGTATTAGTTACAAAATCAGTTGTTTTTGTCACTTTTAACATAAAGCATTAGAAAAGTTGCAACAGTCATGCATGGGGATTGTTATTTTGGTCTCTTATGAGGAACTTGTATTTAAACAGCACTATTGGAAAAATTTGACTGCAACACCTTTAAACTTTTTAAACTTTAACTTTGGAACAGAAACTTGTCTGACAGCAGTTTTTATCCATGCATGAAACTGCAGCTGGCTGCTATAGTGGTCACATGACCTCTACTATAAACCTCAGCACAAACCAATGAGGCTACGTAATTTCCAATAAACTCAATGATCAAAAATGTTGCCAAAAACTCCGCGCTGTCAGCAAAACCTTTATGTTTACCTCAGCAGTCATGTTGCTTGACCGGCATGTGCGGTACAGGAGTTGTCACATGTAAATCTGGGCATTCCTCACTTCCCTGAACTGACTATATCCTGTTCTAACACGACTTATATAAGTCGGCTGCTTTCATTATCCACAGCTCTGACAGTTTTGTAAAAGAAGACTTCTCTGCTGAACTAAGCTGGTGACCAAAAAACATGTTTAACACAGGAGTTTTGACCTATCTGTGCTTGTTTTTTGCCTGCTGCTTCTGCTGCAGCAGAGCTATGCCGACTAAACTCAGCAACGAGGCTGTGAATGACAGATCTGTGATAGGTGAGTAAAATACACCATCAGGACTTTATATTTGGTATTTCACTCACAGAGATACACGTCTTTAGAAAGCAGAGCGAATCACTTCTGTAGCTGTGTCACTGTTGACTGTTCAATCAGAGCTGCTGTGATTTTTGTTCCACAGGTATTTTAACTCAGGTTGTTACAGATGAAATTATGAAACCATTTGGGAGGACTTACATACCTTCCTCTTACGTGAAATACATCGAGTCTGGGGGCAGCAGAGTGATGCCTATAAGGTGGGTTGAGTCATTTAAGAGTAAAGATGAGCTTTTAAAGAAGTCTGTTCTGTTGGCTCCAATGAAAAGGAAAGAACTCTGTGTATTTAGAGCTCATTATGCCTATTAAACCTCACTCAAAACAACAGTCTCTTTAAATCTGCATGTTTAAAAACAGAGAGAGGGTTTCTTTGAGCAAACTCATTTTGAGTCATTGGAGCTTGGTGACTTTGCATCAGCGTTCAACATTAGGTGAATGTTAACTCGCCTAATGTTTCCATTGTTGCTGACATTTTGTGGAAGAAGAAGTTGACCCCCTGCGTGAGCTCACCATTGTGTAGTCTGAACAATGGAAAATAGTACAACACTCATTGTTTTTTGTTTCCCTGCACAGATTAACTCTGACTGCATCTGAATATGAGAACATTTTCAGGAAGATAAATGGGTGAGCTACTGTATATTGATTTAAATTTGTTGGTAACTGAAATTTGTGTCTAAATAGATTACACTAAGTTTTATTTGCCATGTTGGTTCAGGTTGATTTTCATTGGGGGAGCTGCAGATTTGGAGACTTCAGACTTTGCCCGGGTGGCGAAGATTTTTTACAGGCTCGCTCTGGCGGTTAGTACAGAACATCATTCTCTGTTTATTGTTTTCTGCTTCAAAAGCCTGTCTCGTTTGTGCAGAAATGAACTCCTCTTAGGGGAAGATCTTGTACCTGTCCTGAAGGTTTCCAATGCTTAATAGCAAAGAAAAATAAGGGCTTCTTATTGAACAATATTTGAACACTTACACTTGGCATTTTGAAATTCTGCTCTACAAAATTAATGTTAACTTCAATCAATTAATAGTTTGAGGTTAATCTTTGCACCGAGAACATTGTTTAAGATCAAGACTAGTTTGTTGTTAATGTGACGTACACTTGCCCTACATCTGCAGGACATTTAAGCTACTGTTGATTACAAAAGGAAAAAAAAGAAAAAAATTAGCAACATTTTGTACGTTAGCGTAAATTTTTGTTTTGGTTTCCTGCTCTTGGTGCAGAAAAATTACATTTCCAACTTCTTGTGACTTTCAGGCTAATGACGCCGGGGACTACTTCCCTATTTGGGGCACATGCATGGGATTGCAGCTACTCACTGTGCTGGTGGCTGGTGAAAATCTCCTGACAAAAACCCCAGCTGAGAACTTAGCATTGCCCCTCAACTTAACCACAGGTTCGTGCTTGGTTGCTGTCTTTATGTGAATCTGTGTTATTTTTATTTTTTTTACTCTTTGAATTAACAGGAGGAATGTGTTTTTGTATGTATGCATGCAAGCAAGCTAGCTGGAACTTTTTTTTTTTCTTCAGTGGTTAGAAATTTTTTGCAGAAGAGTGCCTGAACAAAACGCTTAGAGGCAAGTTACAAAATCTGAGGGATTTTTGGCCCCAACTTTAAATGCTCTTTCTGCATATATGTGATGTGCTCTTTGGATGAGATTGTTGTTGTAATTCTTTGACCCTAACTTTACTCTTACCCTAAGAAGCTCCTCTTGAGCCTCTGTTCTTGCCCGGATGGTGTGGAACCTTCTGCCTGATTGCAGAAGCTGGAACAGTTTATTGCTGGCGTGCAACGGGTCCTTCAGTATCTGAGCTGCTCTAGAGCAGCATCTCCTGGTATAGATGTCCTGAAGGGAGGAGAGAGCAGTCCTGCAGCAGCGTTCTGCTGTACGCTCTCTGAAGAGCTTTTTTGTCCTTGACACAGCTGTTCCCATACCAGGATGTGATGTTCTGTGTGAGGATGCTCTCCACAGCACCTGCATAGAAAGTCCTGAGGATCCCTAGAGAGACCCTGAACATCCTCAGTTGTCGTAGGTGGTGCAGGCGCTGCCTAGCCTTTTAGGACTGGACCTGAATGTGGGCAGATCATGTCAGATCTGAGGAGATGTGGATACTGAGGTACTTGAAGGACTATACCGTCTCCACTGGAGCCCCGTTGATGATAATGGGCTTGTAGTCTCTGTGCTTACTCCTTCTGAAGTCCACCACCAGCTCCTTGGTCTTGCAGACATTCAGCTGCACTTGGTTGTCCCGGCACCACGATGCCAGATTCTTCACTTCATCCATGTAGGCCGCCTCATTGTTATTGGAGATGGCACCCAACACCACTGTGTCGTCAGCAAACTTCATAATTGTATTGGAGCCAAGAGTGGCCACACAGTCTGAAGTGTAGAGGGAGTAGAGCAGTGGCGAGAGTACACAGCCCTGTGGCGCTCCTGTGTTGATGGTGATGCTGTCGGAGACGCACCTACCCACCCTCACCACCTGAGTTCTGCCAGTGAGGAAGTCCAACACCCATGCACACAGACAGCTGTTGTGTCCTAGATCCCTCAGCTTTGTGAACAGTCTGCTGGGCGCTATCTATTCAGATGTTTTTTTCTTCTTTTGTGTTAAATGTGTTCAATTTTATAAGTGGACTTAATCAAATGTGTTGCGTGCAGAGGCGCATTCCAGCCGGATGTTCAATACTTTCCCAGATGAGCTCATCAATGCTTTGACCCAGGAACCTCTGACTGGCAATTTTCACAACTATGGAATTACAATAAAGGTACAGCATAAGCCTCCTTCTGACCAGTGTCGCCAAACAGAAAGTTTTACTTCCTCTGTTAGGTTTTGAATAGTTATTGTTTGGAGAAATAAAACCCCAGCCAATGATCACAGTTAGGAGCCTTTGTTTCAGCAGGGGTTTAACAGATCTACTATACAGATGTCTTTTAATCTGCATTCAGAATGAATTTGTCTGCCATGAAAAGAGTTGTCGTCATTTGAGCAGACATTAAACAAAGCATTAGTAGAAATGAAGCCCAAACGCGAATTCTTCTAATAAATCCAAACAGTTCTGAGTATTGCATGCAAGAAGGAGAGTTAAAATAATAACAAATAGAGACACTTAAATGATAACTGCTAAAATGACGAATGTTCTCACAGGACTTCCAGGAAAATGAGATGCTACAGAGTTTCTTCACCATCTTGTCAACAAACATCGCTAAGAACGGAGCTCACTTTGTGTCAACTTTCGAAGGTTACAAGGTTTATTTTTTTTTATTTGGGAAGCTGAAGGATTTCCATGAAACAGCACTGTACCAAGAGATATATTGTTTTGTTATGACAGGTAAAAGATATCCTTTCTACGGAGTTCAGTGGCACCCGGAGGTGAATCGTTTTCAGTGGTACAGAAAGCTGAACTTCCCTCACTCCCGTCACGCTGTGCAGTTATCGTCGCTGCTAGCTGAATTTTTTGTCAATGAAGGTAACATGACAAGCATGCATTATCAAAAAACATACACTGCTCAACAAAATTAAAGGAACACTTTTTAATCAGAGTATAGTATCAACCCAATTAAACTGGGATATTAATCTAGTCGAATAAGAAGCAGGGGGAGTTGTTAATCAGTTTTCAGTTGCATTGGTGTTACATGAAATCAACAGATGCATTCAGCTAGTTTTGCATTCAGCTAGGGTCAATGTCACTTCTGGTAGCATAAGGTGATACATGGACCCTACATAGGTTGCACAGGTAGTCCAACACCTCCAGGATAACACAGCAGCGTGTACAATCACCAAAAGGAGTTGGACAGAGCTATAGAAGGTCCTAACCCATCACCAGGACTGGTATCTGCTCCTTTTTGAAATGAACAGGATGAGCGCTGCTGTTGTCCTACAAAATCACTTCCAGTAGGCCACTAGTATGAATGTCTCTGACCAAACAATCAGAAACTCACTGTAGCAAGAAGGCTTGCCGTGCTCTAGTGAGCCCTGTGCCTAATGCTGAAAATAATCATTTATGAAATTATTGGATGCCATAGTAATTTTACTGGCATAACCAAAAACACAGAGAAAAAAATAAGTGGTAATAAAAAAA